GTCCATTTGTTACTCTATTAGCGTCTCTAATCTTACTAAACACAAGACTTATGTCCCTTTATTTTTTATTTTATTTTATTGAGGCTGTGGATAACCTTGAGTCCCTGCTCCCTGCCTCCACTTCCTGAGTCCTGGGAAGTCAGTTTCAGTTTCTAAGTTAGCAGTTGCCCACTGCTTCCTGAAGTTGGTCGTGTCTGAGGAGCACAGCCTCATGAGCATTGTGTGTGGGTTATCTCATACCATTCTTTGCCCTTTTGCCTCAGCCATGTGTTTACAAACCACATCTCTGGTAGACAACCCATGATGACATTCAGGAAGGAGTCATCGTCGCCTTCCACCGGGTGGGCCCCCAGGAAGTGAACTCAGGTCGTCAGGCATGGCAGCCAAGGCTGGACCATCCATCTCACCAGCCCGGTTGGATCATTCTTACGCAGTCAGGGAGTCTCTTCCTTTTAATCAGAGAATATAGTCCATGTACGCTTAGTGTGATTCAAGGGGTACCATCCCATGGGTTGGGGCCCCAGCTGAGCACCAGCATTCGCCGGTCTCTGCTCCCGCCTGCGGCTGTAATGTGACCACTTCGCTCCCTCTCCTGCCACCATACCTTCCCTACTTGGATGGACCGTCCCCTCAAAACTGTACTAAAATGAACCTGTCCTTAAGTTGTTTGGGGCAGGTATTTGTCACAGCAACAAGAAACATAACTAGTACTAGTATCATCACTGAGCTGCACCCCCATCCCCTCTCCACCCTGCTCCCCTACTGAGTGGTCAGGTTGGCTTTGAACCCAGGCTACCCTTGAACTTACGATCTGCCAGCCTCAGCTTCTAGTTTTAGTGTTACAAGCAAGCACCACTGTGCCTGGTAGATTTTTTTTCTCCCCCAAAACAGAGTTTCTCTGTATATCCCTGGCTGTCTTGGAACTGGCTCTGTAGACCAGGCTGGCCCCAGACCCACAAAGATCCGCCTGCCTCTGCCTCCCAAGTGCTGGAATTAAAGGCATGCGCCACCACTGCCCGGCCTGGTAGGTCATTTTGTAAGCATTTTGTTTTGTAGCTATCCACATGGAGATGTCAGTAATGCTCAGTTGACTACATCACTGTCCTGCTCACCTCCTTTTGGCTGGCCGGCAACTGCCCAGCCTCTGGTTGACCACCCTTCAGAGCCATAGCAGGCACATTCCTTTTGAGATGCAGATGTAACATCCCTCGAACACCTGCCTCTGCCTCCCGAGGGCTGGGATTAAAGGCATGCGCCACCACCGCCCGGCCGGGACACATCTTCCCTTCAAGGAAAGATCTAGGGCCAGGGAGACATGCTCTTCACCATCAAGATGAGTTCACCCTTCCCTTACTGTAGTGCACTGGCTGTCACATGTCTTAGCCCAAGCTAGCCTCCAGCCTTCACAGCACCTTGTTAAAACCTAGAAACCAGCTCCTGAAGAGCAAGGCTAGCCCTTGAGGGCCCCTCTGGGACAACTGCCTGACTTCTTGGAAATGGAGAGCATTCACATCATGGATGTCACCTTCCCTGTGTTCAGCACTGCAGCCAGGACACCCTGCATCTTGGGGATAAGGGGGGACACTTGGCTGCGCTTCTGGTCTCACAAGTGTTATGACCAGACACGAGAGTGTGCCTACAGCTTACAAGCATCAGCCAGAGCATGCCCAGTAAGCAGCAGCCATGTGAGTGTCCATGGCCACTGTAACACAAATGGCCACAGCCAGAGGGGCTGAGGCAACAGAAGCTGCTTGCCCGTAGCTCTGCATAAGTGTGGAATTAAGGTGCGGCATGGCCGCAGGTCCCTCTACAGCTCTGGTGAAGACACCTTCCTGCCTCTTGCCACTTCTGGTGGCTCCAAGCATCTCCTGGCCTGCAGCTGACCTTCCTATCTTTGCTCCATCTTCACATGACTCCTGTGCAGGCGTCCCTGCCTCAGGACATCGCCAAGGACCACACCTCAAGAACTCCCAACAGCACATCTACAAAGACTTTCCATATAGGGTCATGTGCATGGATCCAAGGGCTTAGGGCATGGACAGAACTATTTGAGGGCCACCATTCAGCCCTCTAAGGTAGCTTGCACAGCTTCACTTGCTCTTTCTTGATGTTCTTGAGAGCCCGGGGGGGGGGGGGGGGGACATGGACATACCTGCTGAGCAGTTCCTTGGTGCCCAGCCATGTCCTGTGTCTTCAACATGACCAGCCCTACATAAAGGAGCCAGTACGGCTGCACGAGGTTCCGGTCTCTTGGCCAGGTCCCTAGCAAGCCCGAGTCAGCCTGGTTCATCAGCCATGCCCATGATCCACGCTGCCCCTCTTCATAACACACAAACCCAGGGCTTCCTCAGCCTGACGCGTGCCTGGGACGCAACACAGCATGAAGTTGCCGCATGGTCGGAAGACCCAGTTGTGTCCAAGGTACAGAAGAAACCAAAGGCACCAAAGCACACTTTTTCATCTCAGCCATCCCTCACAAGGCTCTTAGACAAATACAGAGCCGTGTGCTCACCCCAGTCCCCGCCACTGTTCACTGCTTCTCTTCCTGATGTAAGTGACGCTGGCTCTCGGTCCCAGTGGGTTGTCCCGTGCGAGGCCTTAGAAATAATAAGTCACAAATGAGATAGATGAATTCTGAGTTGGAATAGTTTGGTGCTTAGAATGGACAGAGAAACTGAAGTCTACCATGCCTGCCAGGTATGGTTGGTATACCTGTCACCCCAGCACCGAGGTGACTGAGGCTGGAGCTAAAGGTTGAGGCCGTCCTGGGCTACACAGTTAGACCTTGTCTCAAAAGTGAAAATGATCACCTTCAAGGCATCTCCCAAGCTGAAAGGGTGTGGCTCGGTGCTAGAACCCTTGTTTGGTAGGAAGAGACCCCGGTTCTATCTCAAACACTGCAAAGAAAAGAGAAAAACAGACTTCCAGTCTCAAGACCTCTCTACCAGTTCACAGCCGCCAAATAAAGCGAGCAGCATGTCTTAACAAAAAGGATTTATTATATTAATCCACACAGTGTAAAGGCCTGGTCCCACATGGACTGGCATTAAATAACTTAGAATCCATTGATGATTGACTTTTACAGCAGGCTTCTCGTATTTACAAAGACAGGTTGAGCCTGTGCCCTTGACGCTGGCCACATTGTCTCTGTGGACATGTGAAACACCCCTCAGGGAGCACAGACTCTAGGGAGGGGTGTGGCTGGGAGGGCTCCTCTGCACCGTGTCCGTGGGAGCCACACCTCAAGGGAACCAATAGTCAGGGGCACAGAACCTCCAAGCCTGGACCCACATCTTTGCTGGCATCAGCTCAAGTACCTCTGGACCCCGACCTGGGTCTCAGAGACCAACACAGACCATTGGCAACCCCTTAGTGACTGCCTCTGCCAAGGTGCGCATGGAGTCCTGAAAACCCGAGGCGGGGGATCCAGAGGGCTCCGTGCAGAGCTCACAGGAGGATACACAGGGGACAGGCCTTATCCTGTCTGGGCCCAGCATCCGCACTGAAACCCACCTCACAGAACACTTCCCGACTGCAACTGGAGCAGTGTGGTGAACACACGCAGAGGCCTCTGGGCAGACAGCTAACCTACAGTTCAGTGGAGAAGCTGTGTGCGCACATGCAGGAGACACACGAAGTGCAGGTGCACTGTGAGCCAGTGAGGCAGTTACGCATGCGTGTGCTTCTGGGACAAGCTGCCTGCCTGCAGTCATTTGTTTCTTCACCATTAAAAACTCTAATGCAAAGACAGCGCCGCCCAGCGGCCCAGTTTCTACACAGAGAAACCTGAGCAGTACTGTCCCCTCCCTGGGGCAGGCCTCGGTCACCTGCTCCGAAGGAGGACAGCCTGGCCAGTGCAAGCCGGTTCTGTCCGTGTTTACCCTCAAATATTCAGAAGCCTCTCTGGAAGCCGGAAGTCAAGGGAAACCTGCAAGGCTCTGTGGCTGACTGCCACATACCAGCCATTACCGTCCGGCTGAAGCCTAAAGGTTTGCAGAGTACACAAATGAAGAGTGAATGAGGAGGAGAGGCGTGAGGACTACAGGTCACGTGCGATACAGATAAACCGGCAGCTGTGGCGTTGGCTCCCAGTTGTAGATTCTGGAAGTTTCTAGGTACTAATGAGGTAACTTCACAGTGGAGGTTATCAGCAGTAAGATGTCACTGCTCACCCAAGGGAGCAGTGGGAGGTGAAGGCACCCTTGGGAGCGGACGACAGGCCCCCACTGGCCACCGAGGTGATGGTGGGGGGCGTCCTCTCACAAGGCAGCGTGCGTGGTCCAGCACACAGCTTTCACTCGACTTTCCAGATGGCGATCTTGCCTTCCTCGCGGCCGGCTCCGCTCAGCACATAGCGGTCCTCGGCAGAGCACAGGGTCATCACGGTGTCAGAGTGGGCCACCAGCTCCTTCTCCACTGCCATCTTCTCCACGTCCATCACGAAGATTTTCCCTCTGGGTTTCCCCTGCGACAGCCCCCTGCCACCCACCCAGATCTGTAGGGAAGAAACAGAGACGCTCCCTGAAGCAGGGTGCTCTGTGACAAACGCACCCCCCCCAAATTCATGTCCTTCCCACTGGCCAAGAGGCTGGGCTGCCTGGTGGGCCTAGGACAGACCTTCAGGTCACGGAGGTCTAGTGTCAGGCTCGAAAGCCCAGGGGACAATGTGGTCATAGCTAACACTGTCTCCTGAACTCGAGATCTGCTGAGACCAACCTCAATTCTGAGTGTAAGAGGGGGCTGCTGCCGGAGCGTGAGTGCTGAGTGTGCTGAATGTCTCACACCATCGAGGTCACACACTGGAGAACATTGACTCACCAGTGAAGGGTCCATAAAACAGGAGCCACACCACTATGGAACTTCCTCGTCACGTGTTAGGCAGGGCTGGGACCTGTCACCTCTTTTTTTCATTCCAATTTCTCCCTTTGTGGACAGGACTGTCTACTCTTGGCAATAATACTTTTACTGTATTTCACGGGGGCAGGGGGGGGGGTGTCCCAGGACGGACCACGTGCACAGCCTTATTGCTACAGTTGGAATGAGTGTTCTCCAAGACCCCAGCTTGGCTCTCCTGGGGCATGCTAAACCCTGTAGGAGGTGGGGCTTTGTGGGAGGTTTGAGGTCATTTTGAGGTCAGTTGAAGGTGCCCTAGAGAAGATTCCAGTTCCTTCCTGCTGTTTGCTTCCTGGCCAGGACCTGAGCAGTTTTCTCCCACAGGCACTCACCCACAGTGCTCCTCACCATAAGCCCCAAAGCCGTGGGTCTGATGGCCATGAACTACAAACTCCAGGACAGCCCCAGAAACCTTCTCAAGCTCTTGGCTGCAGGTACAAGACTGACTAGGACCCGAGTCCATCGGCTCTCCTCAGGTAGGGCCTGGACCCTTTTGAGTCAGTGACGGCGTGGCCTGGAACTCTGGGGGTCTGGGATGGTGTGGCTGTACTTTGTGTGTGGGAAAGCTGTAAACGGTTGAGTAGTGTCTCCCAGAAACTCCCATCATCCTTTCAGAATGGGGAGTGGCTTGGAAATAGAGTCCTAGGTGACATGTGGCCAGGCTTCAGTGGACACAGGAGACACAGAGGTGCCGCATGAGGACTAAGCCAGATGAGAGAGGCGTATCCACGACCAGGACGGTCAGGCGTGGCCTCAGCCCCAGAAGCTGTGTGGAAAGGCCGGTCTCCACTGAGAAGGAGCCACCCGGCCAACTCCTGGGATTGGCACTGACTGGGCCCCCAGCTCTGGTGGGAAGTAAGGCGCTAGGACACCCGAGGCCCGTGCCAATCTGCACCCCAGCCAGCCTCATATTCTACCCCTTCCCATTAAGGAGGGAAGGGACCTTGGAAGAGGAGGCAGAGCCGCGGGGACGAGGCCAGAGGAACCCGAAGGGGATGTTCCCAGGTGGCTGGACACCTCCGTCTCACCTGCCTCTTCACGCGGATCATGCAGCTAAGCTCGGTGCAGTCTTGCAAGTGTGTCTTCTGAGGAGGCCGGTCCAGGTCCTTCAGGTTCCAGACATACAGCTCACTGCATTCCGCAGAGGCCGCCCACAGCTGCTCCTTCTGGGATAGAAAGCACCCACCGTGGGACAATGGCACTGTGACCGAGACAGCCCAAGCCTGGACTTCAGCACACAGGCCTGGAGTACCTCAGGCAGAAGCTGGAAGGCCAGCAAGGGGGTAGGTGCCCTGTTCGAGTTGTTGATGCTCAGCTCTCGACGATGAAAGCCTTGTGTTGTCACCACCACGACGCTGTGGCCTGTACCTGGGGGAGGAAGAACCGAGAGAGATGGGCAGAGCACCCGGGAGATGCAGGGAGATGCCCTGCTGCCTGGGACTCCCTAGAAAGGTCCTGGCTGCCCAGCCGGGGTCTCTCCCGGGGACCGCCGTGAAGCTCGTCTCCCAGTTCCCATGAGATGCTCCCAACACAGACAGGGTACTCCCCATTCCCCGACTGTCACTTCCCGGTGATCAGGAGCCCAAGCCCAGTCCTGGGAGATGCTCTTAAAAGCATAGCAAGCAAGGAGAAACCTGGGTGGTAGGACTCACCAGGAATGATAACACAATCCTGGCAAAGCAAGTTTTCTTAATTTCTTTGACGGACTGCTGCTGGCTGCCCAGTGAGGTGAGGCCGCGCAGTACCACCCTTAAGAGCACCCACGCGAAAGGGAAGCAGAAAGGGAGGCTGGAAAGAGAGCGGAGAAGACGGAGCTGAATTAAGATACTCAGTAAGGACAGCAGCAGGCAGGCAAGGCGGGGGACAAGCGAGCAGGCCAGCAGTCCGGGTGTGGTGACAAGCCCTGTGATCCAGCACTGGAGGTGACAAGTTGAGGAGGAGCCACAGCTACCTAGTGCCTATGAGCCCAGGGTGGTCACCGTGGGACCTGGGGAAAACAGACAGAGACGGAAACAGAGGAGGAAGAGGGAGAGACAGAGAAGAAGGAAGAGCATGCGGAAATGGCGCGCTTAGGCCCAAGCCGGTTGCTGGCAGCATTCAAGAGCCCTCACATCTGCTTGCAGGGAGGCCTCACACTGCAGGCAACTCCTGTACCCCAGGATGTGCCGAAACACCCGGGAACAGAGCCGCCAGCCTCGAACCTGCCCCTCCCGTCACCCCTTGGCAGACCGTCTGACTTGGCTCTAGACACTGGGGTTCCCGGGATGGACCAGGAATGGCACACGCCAGCGACAGCAGCTCAGCCTGGACAGGCTTACCCTCAGAGGGCTGAAAAGAGGTTGCAGAGGGCAACCCAGGGTCACCGGGCCAGGCTTACCCCCCACCCCCACCCAAGCAGATTACCAAAAGGGAGCCGGGGAGCGGCAGGCACATGCGGGATGGTAGCCATCCACCAGCCTGTCAGGGGATGGAGAGGAAGCCTGGAGGGTGCCAAGCCAAGCGACTAGGGCAGCATGCGCGGTTGCTGGGAGAGGAGGGACCATTTAAAAATCAAAGCTGGAAACACACACAGGAAGGCAGGGAAAGGAGCTTGACCCAGAGCAGGATAAGGGCGCCATGCTCACTGGCTGACGGCCTGAAAACTTACAACAGTACAGGCGGCCACTGTGCAGGCTGATGGACGTGAGGTTCCCACACTGCAACTGGAACCGGCCGGTCACCCGCAAGGTGCTGACATTCCACGCCAGGACCGTCCCATCCAGGCTACAGGAGTAGACCTCGCTGAGGGATCAAAAAATATGTGTAGGCACTTAAGAGGCCACGTGGCACCGGGCATCCAAACGGTGGTAACAATGCCACCGTCCACGATGGGGACAATGATAAGTAAATGTGATATACCAGGAAGAGGATAGGGGCTTGGAGGCCGGTTCCCCATTCCAGCCCCTGTGAGCTTGATGGGGTGTCAGAGATCAGAACCCCCAGGGTCACCGTTCACGGCACCAAGTCCTAAGCAGGGCTGTCCAGCTCAGAGGGCCCAGGAGGACAGGCTCGCCAGCACCCAGGGGAGGTCATCCACAGTAGCAGGTTGGGGTGGGCAGTGGCCAGGGCTGCCTACGACTCCTGCACTTTCCTGGCTCCTGCCATTCTCAGGTAAGCACTAAAATGTCCAACTTGACCTGGGCCTGGGGGAAGAGAGGCCCCTCTGGCACCATTTTAGGGAACAGGGACAGGGGGCGGCATGGGAGACAGGCTAGGCAGACATTGCCAGAACTGGGGCTCCCCACACAGCTGGGGGACCCGGCCTTGCTCGTGAGCCTTCCTTGGGGGTTGCTCTGTCAGGCCTGACCTCGCTGCAGGGCACAGTGGATAAAACAGCTCACTTGGAAGTTGGCATTCTTAGAGTAAGTAAAGACAGCGTGACACAGGCTGGTATCCTGGGTTGCACTGTGTCCCTGAGAAATGACACAGTGGGATCCTTGAACCCAGCACCCCATTTGGAAACAGGATCTCTGCAGATGTGGCCAGGTTGACATACCATCATTACAGTAGGCCCTGGCCCGATAGTATTGATGTCTTTACAAGAGGGAAACTTGAGCCCGGGGATGGCCACACACTGTGGGAGGCTGTGGTGAGATGAGGGTGGAATAATGTACCTACAAGCCAGGAGACACCAAGGCAACCAGCATATCTGGGGGGGCCGGGTGGAGCTCCCCACCCCACTGCCGTGACTTTCCATCCAGGTGGTTTTGGGGAGACCGATACACGGGGGAGGCTGTCCCTCAGGACAAATGAGCCAGGAAGCAGGTGGCCTTGAGGTGGGTGACCTCCATGGCTTTTCCAAACCTGCCTCTGGATGCTGGCTCCCCTGCCGGGTGAGTAGATGGGGGAAGCCCCAGCCTGAGGGCCACACCCCAGCTCCCATGTGTCCTGGGCAGCCCCCTGTACCCTCACACTGGCCAGGATAATTTGAGAGTTTTATGGGTCAAATCTCTCCCATGATGGCTTGGCCTTAGAACTGGGGGGTCATAGAGGCAGGAGCACATGGGTGAAATGAGATTGGCATGTGACAGGAGAACTCTTGCCTATCTACCCTCCGGTGAAGCCAGCCCAGAGCTGCCTGCCACGCATGCCTTTGACAGGGAGGGTAGAGCCCCCTAAAGGAAGCTGGATGGGTTTGAAAATGAAGGCAACCGGGTCTCCAAACCCACCCCGGAACACTCACAACACCAGCTTAGAGATTCAGCAGGGGAAAGTCCGCCCCCCCCCCCCCATCAGCCTGCAGACAGCTGGCCTTCTGGTGACATTCGGGGCTTGGGGGAGGGATGTCCCACAATGTCATTTTAGAGATAGCCAACACCAAGAACTTAGGTGCTCTCTCATACAAGGCCAGATTTCGGATGTCTGGAAAAACGAGAAAGCCGGCCATTACCAGCACTGGCTTGGAGGGTGCCACCCCTTTCCAGTTTCTGCCAAAAGCACGGGCTGGTCTAAGAAGTCTTGGCTGTAAGGCCAAGCGCCAATGGTCCCCATGCTGCTTCTGTCGTCTCGAGAGGCTCCTTTCTCTTTACCCCCAAGCAGAACCAGACCACCCATGTCTTCTGTCGACTCCCCTCCCAGACACTTCTTGCCTGGCCAGGCCCAGGAGGCCCAGGACCCCTTACCTTCCACACCCCTGGGGGGGGGCCAGGCTTCTCCCTGCCCTACCCCATCGGGCCCTGGTACCTGGGCTTCTTTCCATTCTGCACCACCAGGCCAGTGACGGCAGCTCGGTGATCCGTGAGCTGCTTGTTGCACGACATGCTGTGGACGTTGATGATGTAGATGACGGAGTCCTCCGAGCCCACCCACACCTGGCTGTGCTCTGCCATCACCATGCAGTTCTAAAGGGAGCCACGACGGGAGGGTGCGGTGAGACGCGCAGACCAGGTTCACCGTCCGCGCAGCTACCACCAGCCCCCAGTCTGCAAATACAAGCACTGATCCCGCTCAGGGTCTGGTAAAGGCCCAGTCAGAACCTCGTTGAAGGCGCGCGGGTTCCCATTTAAGGATGCCTTGTGGAGTACACAGAAGTATAAACCATGGCATAAAATGCAGTCGGGGGAAGGATGGTGGTCCACAGTGTGAGCTGCAAGTGGCAGCATGGTTGCCCTGCCTCAGCAGGAACACACACACTGGCCCTGACACTCCCACTGTCTGGATCACAACGGAGGCACCGTGAGCATTGACTCGGGGGTCAAGACACGTGTCAGCAGGTAGCTGGATTTGCCGGTAATGAAGATGAATGGTAGGAACGGCCAATCAAGCCGTCGGGGCCTCTGCAGAACAGCGTGTTCTTAGGGGCTCTGGCGTCTCAAAGTCAATACTCGGTGATGCTAGGGGACGGGCTGCCCGTTGAACCTCTTTGAACAGCACGCTGGGTTCAAAGCGCTGCACTCACCACTTTGGAGGCGCCCAGTTTAAAGCGGTGCTGGTGGATGGTCCAAGAGGAGGCATCGAACACGACCACTTTGCCTTCATTCAGGGCGCACCACAGCTTGGGGTGTGCGTCTTCAACTTTCTCTGCAGGGTCCAGGCGCCCTGAAGAGGAAAGGAGCCCCAAGGCTTTTAAAGTCTGGCAGATCGGTGATGGTGGGAAGGGCCGCCTCCTACCACTCAGCTCTCTTCCAGGTACCCACCGAACACCAGGGCAGGGCGAAGTGCCGGGGGAGTGGAGATGTCAGAATGCCACCCTCCCTGGAGTCTAGGCTCTTGTGAGCTAGAAGGGGCAGACAGAACTGTGGGGATCCACCGGGACTGCACCAGGATCCACAGATAGGAAGCAGCAGTATGAGGTCAGCTGGTGAGTACTCGGCATCAGAGGAAGAGGGTCAACCAGGGAAACCCAACTATGGCATACCCAACTTCCACACCTAACCCGAAGCTTATGGAGCGGGGTCACTTCGCTTCAGGTTGTCACCCCCATTTAGTGGGTGGTATCAATTTATTTATTTAGGTTCTTCTAGAACCCAGTCCACTTGGAACCGGTGTGGTGACTGACTGAAGTGGGTAGGGTTCCAGCTGCCCGTATGGAGCTAGGCTGTCCCACTATCCATGGCTATACAACCACTGGCCAAGGGCAACCTCTTCAACCAAAGCCAAGAGCTGACACACAGCAACGGAAATGTCACATACTGCAGAGGGCAGGGAATGAGTATTCTGGGTCCCCAACAAGGGGACCCAGTATGTTATTGCCCAAGTATAGGGTGGCACAAGGCCAAGTGGGCAGAGTGGTCCTGACAGCTTTGCCCTTGTGGCTCAGGACTCTGTCCTACAGACAGGAAGCACCCTCCCTGTTTATAGCGTGGGGCCGTCCCTTCACCGCTGCCAGGTGGACCTCCAACCCGAATCTAAGTTCATCACAACCAAAGGCAGTGAGAGGTCACCTTACCCGGAGTATACAGCAGGAAATCAACGGCTTGAGGAGCGGTCTCCCCGGCCGAAGGGTTAATCTTGTGTTTTAGGGTCTCCGAGGTTGTCTTTGGGACTGCCATGGGCACTGAAACGCAAGCACATGAGTGAGGTTACCAGACTCAAAGACGGTAGGACAGCCGCGGCATCCAACTTCAAACAAACAAAAAGCCCCGCATGCGGCCTGAAGGGGGCGCTTTTGGAAACCAGCGTTAGGGACAGTACCACCCATGATGCCCTCTGGCCTCATCCCTGATGGGGAGCAGGGCTAAGAAGGCAGCTGTCGTGTATGTTTTCCTGGTCGAACAGTACGCCACTGTGTCTAGGTCACCTTTTCTTTGAATATATATATTTTTTAGCATTTTGTGTGTGATGTGCACACCACAGCACACACGCGGAGGTCAGTGGACAATGAATGTGAGTCAGGTTCTCTCCAACCACGTGGACCCCAGGGGTTGAGCGCAGGTCATCAGACTTGGCAACGCGTGCCTTTGTGCAGGGGGAGCCATCTTCCCAGCCCTAGGCCGCAGTTCTTGACCCATTCACCTGTCTAGTTCCGTGACAAAGTCTCTGCAAATGGTGCCAGGATAAACGCTGGGTGACCCTTGCCTCTTTCTGCACACTCCACCTCTTGATTCCAGGCAGTTGCTGAAACCACCTTCCCTGGGGGTTTCTGGGACCACCTGCCGGGTTGAGGGATCCGTCCACTAACCCCCTGGGCTACCTCCTAGCCTCCCACCCCCATGGATCACCTGCCCTGCAGAGGAGACTATGCCTTAGGGACTTGCTGGTGGCTCTCCCCCTTTTCATTAAGCTTCCCATCTGATACGATTGCTATTGTCCTCGTTTCTCAAAAGAGACTGGAACAACAGAGTTCCGAGCTCCAACTGCTCAGGAAACCATGATGGGACCCTCTGCCGCTGCCTCTCCCCCTGCTCCCTAGGGTGCTCCTTTCATTTTGTGTATTTTTAGACCTTCCATCACAAGCGGCCTCGGCGCTTCCAAGTCAAGCTTGGGATCTCCCGTCTCGAGTCTTCACTTGGTTCAGCCCTGCCCTAGAAGGTATTTCTGGATTTCTTTTTTTTTTTTTTTTGGGTTTTTCGAGACAGGGTTTCTCTGTGTAGATTTGCGCCTTTCCTGGAACTCACTTGGTAGCCCAGGCTGGCCTCGAACTCACAAAGATCCGCCTGCCTCTGCCTCCCGAGTGCTGGGATTAAAGGCGTGCGCCACCACCGCCCGGCTATTTCTGGATTTCTTAAATCAGGGTTCGGAGCTCAGCCTTCTGTGACCTGAGCTCAGATGGCGCCTCCTGTGCCACAGGGAACAAGGTGACGAGGACAGAGCCTGTGCTGAGTGTTACCGTGGCAACTCTGTAAACTGTTTACGGAGGAGCTAGAAAGCAGGTCCACAAGCTGCTGGCAATGAGAAGGCCTTCCGTTTAAAGTTATATAAACAGCTCAAGTGCAGTGTTTATTTGGTTTTACTCCCATCTGAGGAAAAGAGCAGTTCTGTGGAGACCCAGGACGGTCAGCTAGAGCTCCGGGAGGGCTCCGTGGGTCTCCAGGCAACGTGGGGGCACCTGAGCCTCCTGGCTGCTGTCCCAGCTCGGGCAGGAGCGGGTTCTATGACCAGAAAGCGTCAGGGCCACACAGTCAGTGACAGACGTTACACAGGGCAAGATGAAGATATGCCGCCGAGGTGAGTGAGCACACAGCCTGGCCTGTTCTCTAATTCTTGGACAGCTGTTTTTAAAACCTGACGACACACCCAGGAGAGATTACACGGATCTGCACGGGCATTCACAACCGCCTTCGCCAGTCAGGAGGCAGATCCGACCTAAACGTCCACTACAGAAGAAGGGCGTAGAAAATGGACTACTGCCAAGGACACAGTGTTGTCGCCACCAAAGAAATGGAGGGCTGGGAGACGGCTCAGTGGGTTATGGGCTTGCCGAATAAAAATGAGGACCCGTGGAAAGCTGGGTGCAGGGGTGTGCCTCCGCAACCCCAGTATTCCTGGGGACAGACAGAGGGCAAAGATGGGAGACGCACCCCCACCCAGGAAGCTTGGGGGACAGCTAGCCTAACGTTCACAGCAGCAAACAAAAATGAGACAGCCCCCCACCTGAAGCAAGGTGGAAGGACACCTGAGGCTGTACTCCGACCTCCATACACACGCAATAGGTAACACACACACACACACACACACACACACACACACACACACACACACATGCGCGCACGCGCACACGCACACACTCACAAATAGATATGCACACCACACACACCATACGAAGTAACGTTTCCTTAAAGGAGTTGAAGTGGCGGCACCAGCCGGCCCGTGAAGGAACTGAGGAAACACTGTACGGAGTCAGGAGGGCTCCCGAGGATGGGAAGCTCCGGGACAGAGGGGATCACAGAGATCGTGAGCCAACGGCCACCGGGAGCACAGGGGTGACGCTAAGCAGGTCTGAGAATTGCTCTTGCAGAGTGTGCGTGTCTCAGAGCCGTCACAGGGAGGGTGGCACCCCTCTGTGAGACCTTAAACTTAGCCACATCTTAAAGGGGTCCAGCATGAGAGGGACATCTCAGTATCAATAGGACCTGAATGGCGTTTGCAGACAGTCCTACTCCATCAACCTGTGTTCCGAAGCGAACTTCCTATTGTTTTAACGCCACACACTCTCTGTGGCCTCAAAAGGTTCTGCCTGGGCGAGATACTGAGTTTCAGGGTGGCCTATGCTAGAACAACCCCCTGTCTCAAACAAATAACAAAACAGCAAACAAGAGAACAATAGCGATGCCCAGAATAAATTAGGACCAGTGGGCGAGACTGCTCAGTGTTTAGACACTTTGCCCCCAAGCTTGACAATCTGAGTTCAATCCCGGAGACCCACATTGTGGAGGGAAGAGAGAGCTGACTCCATCAAGTTGTCCTCTGACCTCCACACACATGATGTGGCATATGTGCCCACACATCACACACACACACACACACACACACACACACACACACACACACACACACACCAAAAAAAACAAAAAAACAAAACCAAAGACAAAAACACCGAAAGAACTCCAAACCAAACCACACAACAAATGATAGCCGGGTGTGTAATCCCAGTGTTCAGGAGACTGAGGCAAGGGGACCGTGAGTTTAAGTGGGCTACACAGGAAGACCCTATTCTCCCGCCCCGCCCCAGGAGAGCAAGAGGTTTGGTGGGTTCTAACCAATAAATGCCAACCAGAGGAAAAGCTTGAGGCAAAGGCTTACAGCAGACAGAGGCAATGGCCTCTCAGAACTCACTCTCGTTCTTCATCTTGTCAAAGTAAGCCAGCTTGGAGGCGGCGGCGATGGCATTATGTGACTGCAGCGTGCCAACCACGGCATCCATCAGCAAAACGTTGGTCAGTGCTTGCTGGACGTACTGCGGGTCCTAGGGCGGAAGCAGATGTGTGTCAACCCAGCCCAAATCCTGGACGTCTCCTGATTTGGCTCCACTGAAGAAAACAGCACTTCTCGAAGAAAGAGCGAACGCTGGGGGGTCTGGAGTTTGGGTCGCACCGTCTTTTGCTCTGAGTTACAATACACTCTGATTCTGGACTCCTGGAGCCAGCACATTTTCCTCTCTACATGAGACAGGCAGGGACTCATGACTCCTCACCCCTGCCCAGCCACGCTAAGACAGCCACGCTGTGGCTGTACCCAGTGACAGGTGTGGGAAGAGCCCCGCCATGGCCTTTCGCCATGGCATAGCAGATCTGGCTAGGACAGAGACCACGGAATACAAAACCTCAGAGAGGACAGAGTCCACTCCCAATCCACGACAGGGAGTAACCCATCACAGGTGGCGGTTCCCCCGACCCCTGCCACCAGCCAGCCTGTTCCTTCTAAGATATTTCTCTGGCGACTGGTGAGGCGGTAAGTCTCTACATACCCTTATGACCAGTTCCTTTGTGAGTGTCCTCTGATCGTGGCCTTGGTCCATTGTTTTGGTTTGGTTATGTAATGGTTTGAGACATGGTCTTGCTCTATAGCCCAGGCTGGCTTTAAACTCCTGACCTTCCTAGCTTAGCCTCTTGAGTACTAAGACAATGGGTCCGTGCTAGCACACCTGGCTCGCGTAACATATGGCTTCCTCGCCATTTAGATGACAGGAACACGTCCCCCAACCCTACCCACCATTCACTCGGAAGACACCAGGGCGGAGGGTGCACAAAGGTAAACTGAGTCAGTGTGGGCCGCAGCCTGCATGTGCTCCTCCTCACACCAACCCCAAAGGCCGCATGGCCTGAGGTGGGGTCACGGTAGAACACTCCCCTGCCCAGCGGTACCGGGCCCGAGCTGCAAACTCTGGGTGCCCCCTTCAGGACCCGGTGCCACCCGTGCCCACGGGACCACCCCCATTCCAGACCTTGTGGTCGTCCGCCAGCTTCTTCCCGGCCCACATCTCCTTCACCATCAGGTGCCAGAGGTCACATTCAGACTTCAGGTTGGCCTCGAAGACTTCTTTCTTGGCCGCCGTCTTTATCTTTAAGGTGGGTATCTTCAGGAGGAGAAACGCCACTGTGGTGTTTTTGACTTCCTGCCGGAGGAAGAGGAGAGGAAGGCTCAGGGAAGCAGCCTGGGGTGGTGGCAGGAAGGGGAGGAGTGGCCGGAAGGCACGGCGGAGGGCAGGTTTTGCCACGCTGGGCACACGTGCCCCTTACAACCTTTCACTGTTCCCAGAGGGCTTCTGCAGCAACCCAGCCAAGCAGGCAGGGACTGCAGCTGCAGGCCCTGCGAGCACCCCAGTGGCCACTGGGCCTGGTCCTTCTTGCTGTGACCTCTCAGGAGTTGAGAGCCCGTGACACCCCCAACTCACCTCTCCTGGGCCTCAAGTTTGAGACAGTAATTGTAAATATAAGGCACAAAATAATATCATCAGGGCTGGAGGGATGGCTCAGGGGTTAAGAGCACTGGCTGCTCTTCCAGAGGTCCTGAGTCCAATTCCCACCAACTACATGGTGGCTCACAACCATCTGTAATGAGATCTGGTGCCCTCTTCTGGCCTGCAGGCATATATGTAGGCAGAACACTGTATACATAATAAATAAATCTTTAAATAATAATAATAATATCATCAGGGTCCCAATTCAGACCTTTTTTTGGGGGGGGGGGTGATTTGGTTTTTTGAGGCAGGATTTCTCAGTGTAGCCCTGGCTGTCCTGAAACTCACTCTGTAGACCAGGCTGGCCTCGAACTCAGAGATCTACCTGCCTCTACCTCCCAAGTGCTGGGATTAAAGGTGTGCACTGCCGCCGCCACCCACCTCCTTCTTTTTTTAGAGATAGGATCTCACTATGTTGCCCACACTGGCCTCAGACTTGCAGAACTCCTGCCTCTGCCTCCTGAGTGCTGGTATTAATGAAACAAACCAATACACCTGATTCAGACCTCCTCACTTTGGAGTAACGTAATGTGGCTGGGCATGGTAGTATACGCCTTTAATCCCAACACTCCAAGGCAGAATCAGGTGGATCTCTGTGGGCACTGCACAGTTCCAGGACAGCCAAGATTACATAGAGAGACCCTGTCTCAAAAAACTGGCCAACCAGGCTGGAGAGATGACTCAGAGGTTAAGAGCACTGACTGCTCTTCCAGAGGTCTTGAGTTCAATTCCTGGCAATCACATGACTCACAACCATCTATAATGAGATCTGGTGCCCTCTTCTGGTATTCAGGCACACATGCAGGCAGAGCACTGTATATGTAATAAAGAAATAAATCTTAAAAATAAATAAATAGGGGTTGGGGATTTAGCTCAATGGTAGAGTGCTTGCCTAGCAAGCACAAGGCCCTGGGTTTGGTCCTCAGCTTCGAATTTAAACAAACAAACAAACAAACAAATAAATAAATAGTGGCCAGGTGTGTGGTAGCACATGCCTATAATCCCAATATTCAGGAAGCTGAGGCAGGAAGATTGCAAATTCAAAGCCACCCTGGGCTACATAGCAAGACCCTGTCTCAAAAAAGCAAATTAAAATATAATATGAAAACTAATAATAAACAGCATGTGCCCAGAAACACAAGTAGACACTGTGGGACACACTGCTGTGGGACACAGTCGCTCAGTGGTCAGCATGTAGCCATCTCCCTGAGATGAATTCATTGCTAGTTTCCCATCTCTGGTGAGAAAGTCATAGCCAGCCTTAGTTCCTCCATACATGGTCACCGCAGTGGAATCGGGTGAGGAATACTGCCCCAGGGGCGCCACATCACCCCTACTTGAGAGCTGAGCAAGTTGGGGTAGAGGAAGAGGCACATAGGTACTGAAGGCCACTTGAGGTAAACAGCTCGGGGACCGGTTGCCTTCTGAGTCTCACCTCTATGTTCCTGAAGGTGGCGATCTCCACATAGCCCGGCCGCCCCTCGGGGAGCAGGAAGAGACGTTTCTGGGTCATGGCAATCTTGCCAACTCCACGATTGGTCTTCACGGAGCTGGACAGCTTGTACACACATTCATTCTTATCCAGATGGTCCATCAGCAGGGCAGGCAGGCTGACCTCCTGTGCCTCTGCCTCTGTCTCCTTCCAGCAGTTGTAGAAATCTCGGAACGTTTCGGGGTCGATCTGTTTCTCATGGCCTGAGTTTCACAAGAGAGAGAGTTCATCTGGCCTCATGCCTCACGCTTGCACTACCCAAGTCAGACAGCAGGTGGCACCAGTGCCCGGGACTCTCTGGATGGACCGTTTAGCTGAGGGCCTTTGCCTGGCCCAGCTTGTGGGGCAGAAGATTTAGGTAGAGGCCATCTGTCCCTTCTAGCCCACAGAGGAATGATCATCTGACCTACCACAGGTAGTCACAGTAACTGCCACAAGGGGACCTTTTTTTTTTTTTTAGACAAAGTTGTATGTTTCTGAGGCTGGCCTGGAACTCACTGAGCACCAGTACTTAGAAGCGCATAGAAGGCGCATTCTTCTGGGATACAGCCCTTGCTCACACTCGCTTCTAAGACCTACCTCCTCACGGTCCATGTCTAGCTTCTCACTGTCCACGTCTACCTCGGCCTGGTCCTGCCTGGCTTATGTGTCCCGAGCCTGTCTGTTGCTCTGTGTCCTCTAATGGGTCCAGGCCCTCCATCCTGCACAGGCCACGCTCCTCACTGTTGCTCTCACCACCCCGCTGCTGGGCTGCTTTTCTCGGGCCTCACGATTGCTTTCCTCAAGCATAAGTGGACCTTCCTGCTCCTCACTCAAACCTCTCCGGACTGTTCAACCGTACCAGACCTCGAGTTCCCCCAGACTGTCCTCTCTTCCCTTTCACGGCTCACACTCCAGCCATACCAAGCACTGCCCCCAAGCAGGCCACGGTTGTGTGCCTCCCTATCGACTCATCCTAACCGTCATACCAGAACATCCCACCTCCTCCTTCAACACCCAGGAAAACAGCCCCATGCAGCCTGCCTTCCCTAACACTGCAGGAACAGCCCATGCAGCCTTCCCTAACACTGCAGGAACAGCCCATGCAGCCTTCCCTAACACTGCAGGAACAGCCCATGCAGCCTTCCCTGACACTGCAGGAACAGCCCATGCAGCCTTCCCTGAC